AAAGTGTTTGTTCATATATTTCAAGTTACGTTAATATAAAAAATAGTATAAAAAATAGATATTTAACTCAAACAAAAAGTCAATAAAAACTTGTATAGAAAATCTTTTATAACGTCGAATTGCGTAACGGGCGCGACCTTAGAAAATCGGCAAATGCGACCAAGTTGGCTTCTTAAGTTGATACTGTAAAATTTTGAATGAAAGCATATAGTAATAATTTTTGTGTAAAACTTAAATAGTAACCTTAAACAAGCATGTATATAAAATGCACAAATATTGTATACTTTATTTTCTAAAATTTTCTTAAATTGTAACGGGTGCGACATTTGAACATTTTATCGAGTATTGAAACTCTTCCGTGTTTATTCTTAATGTTAGTTTCTTAGCATCACAATGTAAGAATATTTTAAGGTTATAAATTACGTCGCAATTAAACTATTTGACTTTAGATATAGTTTTTATTTTGTTAAATAACATATCTGATTTTTTGTCGAGGTGGGGTAAGGTTTCGTGGAAATACCCAATATGCGCCAAATCCATTTTCAATAAAAAATTCTGCCCAAAAAGTCTGAATTAAAAATATGTATAATATATACATCGTATATTAGTCCTGTAGAATCAAAAGACGACATGTCCTCTGCCGTGCTTTGCTTCATAGACTGTGAATCATAGTTGGCACTTTTGTGCATGGTCTATGCACAAATGTGCCATATAATTTAATAAACAATATTAACTAATACAGTAGTTACCACCTTTTTTTCTCAGCACGGCAAAGGACATGTCCGCTTTTTGATTATACAGTACTCATATATATATATATATATATATATGTATATATATATATATATATATTTATATATATATATAATTATAATTTTCCTCTTTGACCATAAGCGGCGTTCCGCATTTAGTTTTAAAGTGGGGTTTGATGTGGAGCAAAATACCAAATCAGAAAACTGTATAAGTATATATACATATATTCTATATATAGTAAGGGTGTGTTTTTGACATTAATATGACAAAATATCCCAATATGAAATTTTGTGTTTAGGCCTACTCTGGTTCTTAACGCCTCAAATGTAATCGCAAACATACCAATTTTTGTAGTTTAGTTTCATTCTATGAGTTGTTTTGCATTTCGTGTTTGCCATTTGCATTACACCCAATTTACGACCGATTCAATTTAAACAACAAAAGGCAACTCGAGTGGGTGGAGATAAACAAATAAAGTATTATTTAATTATTTACCGGGTTTAATGGAGTCGCGTTGGATTGCCACTAGTCGGTCAAGCGGAAAGATTACTTATCACAGTCTTAATTTGGCGAACAAAAACAATTTGGAAATATGAGAAAGTTATTGCGAGCGACAATGTGTCACTTTCTCGCGTTATCATGGGGTATTTTTGTTTTCAAATTTGACAGCACGATATGTCATTATTATTGGAACGTTAGTTTGTAGATAAAAACATATTGTTTAAGCCACGGTCTGTATATAAGACCGTGGTTTAAGCAAATGCTGACACTTGAGGTTAAGCTGATATTTGATACTACCAACTGCAAAATGAATCCCTAAATCGCAATATGAATTGAGGAGCAACTTTTCAAATTGCATTATGTTCTTTAAAATAATTGTTTGGCAAAAAGCCAAAAACGTGTTTCTAAATTGACAGAAACACGTTTTTGTCTTTTTCTCGAAAATTTATTTTGAAGGACATAATGCAATTTGAAAAGTGGCTCCTCAATATAATTCGACGTTATTCTTAAAATTTTGGCAAAGAGAACAAATAGTACAGTGGCGGACACGGAATTTTGAACGACCATAATCCCGTTGAGACTTTCTTTATGGACTTAACTTAACTTTAAGGTAATTACTTCTGGTTATCACTAGATTTGTCATTTTGGCAGAAAAAGCAAAAAAGTCAATATTAATATTAGGTGCTTTCCTTTGTATCTTTGCTATTTACAGATTTATACATGGTCAACCAAATTATGACGTTCAAAATTCCGTGTCTGCCACTGTACCACGGTTGGCACGAATTAATTCATATGAAGTCAGTGATTTAATTCGCAAATTAATTCAAATAACTTTTTTTAAAAATTCACCAATTAATTATTTTTTTTTACAATGAAAAGAAATTGTATTATCAACTTCAATATACATATATACAGGGTGTTATGTAATTAATGTAATATATTAAAATGGGTAGTTCCTTAGGGTCCATAAAGAAGAACCTTAAACTTTTTTTTCTAAATTCTAAAGACTAAAAATAATTTATAATAACCTTTATCCTACCAAAAAGTACGCCACTGATCGACTAGGAACTTTAGGCTCATCTGGTTGTCTAATTTAATTTATTATGTTATGGTTGGTAAGAACCTGCGTTTCCAGATTCTGTCAAAAAAAGTTTCCAGATTTTGTTTAAATTTAGTTTAATTAAAAAAATTAAAAAATCAACTTTTATGACAGAATCTAGTGCATTTCTTTCAAATTTTAGGTTATGTGCTCAAATTGTAAATATCTTAACTAAAGGAAGTGCTTTATTATATTTTTTTTTAATATTTTTCCGTTACATCTTATGTCAAAAAATATTCAGTATTTTAATATATTACATTAATTACATATATGTATGGAATTTATGCAGAACAGGCTAATTAATTGTTTTTTATAAATAAATCGGCGTTTTTATGGTTTAAGATTTTGGAAAAAAATAACTATTTTTTTGTGTTGTGTTTTAGTACACAAAAAAATATTTTTCTTACTACCTCGACTCAAAATACGTTGTTTCGTCCCCGATTCCACGGCAGAAAGTTAACGTTTTATGCATTGGTCAAGCTATACGCGCACACTCTAATAGCGGGAGTAAAAATTTTTTAGTCATGTGCTTAACATTCAAATTTCGTACTGCCAACATGAGAAACACAAAAATGTGACAGTTTTAAACCATAATTTTGCAATTATAACAACAAATAAACAATTTATGTTTTTACTTTTTTACTTTTTATGTTGTTTTAAGTGTTTAATGGTACTTTTATTTGTTATAAAGTAGTAATTTGTTAATTAAAATACAACCTTTTATTTTTACTGTATTGGCACCGCTGAATTCACGGCCTACTGTTATTTATTTATCAAGCTCTTCAAATGGAGATAGGTACATAAATACACATTTAATTTTTTCCAGTATTTTCGGCCGGGTTGTATTTTCGGCCGAGGTAGTAAGAAAAATAGTATACACTATACGGGCAGAAAGTGTGAGAGCCCTGAACTGCGTGCCATGATGCCCTCGGCTTCGCCTCGGGCATCATAGCGCGCAGTGTAGAAATCTCACACTTTCTGCCCTTGTAGTGTAATATACTATATTTAAGTGAATTAATTAAGTGTGATTTAAGTCGGACTCTTGGACTTTTTATTTAGAAAAGTCATGACTTATTCCAACCCTGAATAGTACATAATAGTAAGACTTTTTTCCCTCGTTTTTTCCAATTACAAAACTAAAGTGGCGCCTTATGACTTTTGTTTTAAAAAAAACATTTTAATTTTAATAGTTTAGTATTATTTTGAATATGAGAAAAATGTGAAGTTTAACAGCTTTTTTGTGTTGATCATTTTGCTGTTGAAAATGCACCCTATCGACCAAATATTAAAAATGATGGGGAAAAAGGGCAACATTGCTGAGGAACTAACAATTCATTGTCAAACAGTTTTGAACCATTTGCAGAAGGCTTATATGAGTATGAGTATACTCATACTCATATAAGGGGACGTATGGCATATATGGGGACGTATGACAGGCCCCATCGACATGACCTTAAACTGATCTCCCACGGTTTTTTTACCCCCTTTCCGTTCTCCTACGTATCCCGCAAGTGCACAGCATTAGAGGAAAGTCGCCTAGTATGGGGTATATTCCTAATATGGGGAGGTATCTTTGTACCCAAACTAGATACATCTATGTTTTCTTGGACAAAGCACAACTACTGGGCTTGTATGGATTTATACTTAATATTAAAGCCATGTACAGATCAGCCGTTCTGTTATTTTTATTTATAGGTTTTAGTGGTGATATAAGTTTTAGCTGGTGCTTATTAAAATGATTTTTTTAAATACAAGGTAAGTCCTGGCTATTTGTTATGTATAGACTAATAGGATTGTTAATATGTATTTTGTGCATATAGGTTTTTGTTACTGTTTTTATTTAAACACCAAAATATTCCTAATATGAGTACCCAATATTAACGCCATATTAAAGTCACGACAACATATGATGTCAATATGACGTGCGATGCTACTTAGGTTGTTTAGGTTATAATATATTGTAATTTGTTTAGTTGTTTTAAAAAAATCTATAAGACAAAGTTTAATTGTGAATCTGGACATCATTTTCAGTTTTTTATAACTTATTTATAATTGTTTTTTATATCAATAAAATTTTAAGGTTGTATTTTATTTTTCTTTATTTTGTTTGTACTATACAATTGCACCAGATATTTTTTAGGTACCTTATATTAAGTTATACCAGGACCTCATAATAGGTTACCTGGTAGCCTTAATGGTGTAGGCACAACATTTTTAAATTATTGTTTTACACAAAAATTAGGCTTTAAGGATTTTTGTATTGTATTATCTTGCTTGCATATTAAAGAACCAACGTTGCTAAACTAAAAAATAAACAAAATTAAAATGGTACCCCATAATAGGCGAATTTCCTCTACCTTTGTTTGTTGTATCCGACCCAACCCAACCCAACCATTTGCAGAAAGCTTATAAGTAGGTATACAAAAATAAGCTCGATGTTTTGCAAAACTGACCAAATTGGCTTTAAAGGAATCATTGAATTTTTTGCCCAGAAACCCTAAATGTTCTTTATTAATCCATTAATGGCTCCAATCGAAAAATTGTATCGATCAAAATGGAGAATATTTTGTTTGTCCAGTTTATTTAAAATAAAATTTGTTTTATTTATAGGTAACACTAGCTACCTTTGCTACCGGCATCAACATACCTCTGATAAGGTTTACGACTTCAGTATGGGTGGAAGACCTAACGTTGATCCCATTAACTTTGATTATTTTATCTCCGGCATGCAATCCTGCCTTTTCAGCTGGTCCACCTGAAACACAAAAAAATAAACACTTAAAACGCGTCTAATTTTAGACCCTTTTAAGGCCTTTCGAAGTTAAATTTGTGGTGTAAATAAAGCTTTAACCTGTTATTTACATCTTTAATGCAGTTCCTTTTTAAGAAAATAACAAAAACGCACTGATACTGGCACTGACATACTGAGTATAATGTTCCCAAAAATTGTTCAAGTATCTTTTACATACAGATACATAGAAAACATTCATTGACAAAAGTTGAATGGCGTAGATTTAGTATCGGTACGCCAACGTTTCCGAATATAAAAAAGCTATAACCGTCAGATTGTTTAAACAGAACTTCGTACAAAAATACTTTTGTAGTAAATTTTATTATACTGGGTTTGATTTGAATTTTAAACAGGCCGCTTTTATTTCATTTTTTTACATTGCAAGGCACATCTTTTGTAATAAATCTTAAAATCTGTACCATACCTAATTAATTTTATTTTTAGTAATTGAAATTTAACCCACAGCCGAGTGCAAGCTTTACTAGTACTTTACTCGTATGTCCATGTCTGTTAACAAACCTATTAGATCCTATTAATGCGGGCAATGTTGCTTCTTAATTCCGACTTGGCAACTAATTAATATTCAATTAGAATATGAGTACATTGCAGTCGTAAACAATACCAAAATTGGGACAGCATATCAGAAAAACTTTTTAAAAACAAAATATAAATATTTGGGTGGAGTGCCTTAAATATGTTATTTGTACTGTTGTTTAATTTAAATTGCAAATTTTTACAAATAAGTATCAAACGTGTTTTAAAATCGCAATTTGCATTGTTTTTTTCTTCATTAAATTCCTGTAAAATAAGTCAATGGAACGAGAATTGAAATAGCGACACGCTCGTACGCGAAACTGAAAATAATTATAAAATGTGTTTAATATAAATAGATAATTGTCTCATCAAAAAAATACTTAGATCTAGTTTATTTATTTATATTTAGTATGAATATGTATATATAGGTATATATATATATATGCAAAATCCGTTCCGTTTGCTCTTTGTCTTTGACCAAATGCCAAGTAGGCGAAAAGGTCGACTAATGAAAAAGTAAACTTGAACATGTGGAATTCAGATTCATTAAAGATAACTTTATGATTTTTACAGTAGGTACTTATATTTTTAATACCTACTTACTCTATAGTGTATATTAGGGTGCTTCAAAAAAAATTTTTTTCGCTCTTACCCTCTCAAATGTTTTTATTTAATACAAAAAAAAATCCTCACCAAATATGGGCGTTCCAGCTCAACTCTAAGAGGTCGCTGTTTTTATTTTAGTTTCCCATTGAATTAACATGGAAAAAAATTAATTTATGTTTGGAATTTTATAACTCTGTATCAAAGTAACTTATGGCAATGATCATTGCAGTTTCTTATATAAAATTTAACGCTCTACAAAAAAGGTCTCCTATTATTTTTCGATAAATTGATTTCTTCTAGAGTTATTCGAGGTCAAAGTTTTCCCCCTTTCACCTCCCGTCTGCTAATTGTACCAGAAAATTTGATGTTAATCAAAAACTATTTATAGATTTACAATTTGGGTCATAATATATTATATTTGGTTGCAAAAGGTGTAAATACCCAATCAATTGACTAATTTAAGTGCAAAAATTGCTTTTTTGGACAAAATAAGAATGCAACATTAACATTTTGTCCAAGATTGTATAAAAATCATTGAAAAATTATCTACATAAAGTTTGCACTTTTACAAAGAAAATGAAGTATTTACGAAAAAAAATCTATGGATAAATGACAGTTTATGTATATGTAGCAAAATTCAAGTTTTTGTTTATTTGTTTAATTTTACCTTATTAGTAGTTAGCGTATATTGTAGTAACATGCAATAAATTTACAATACATTTCAAGAAAATATTTTGTTGTTCCTTATTTATTAATTAACCCATGGGAATTTTTTGTTAGAGTTCTGAGTAATTTTCGATTAGTTCTACAGCTATCGACAGGGTGCGATTAGAGTTCTGCAGTCTATATGTGCATTTTTTTTAAATAAAAATTGAGGTGCTAACATGCCGCACCTTTTTTTGGATAGGGGCGATTTTAGTGAAAGGGAAAAAAGTTCTATAGTTTTATAGGTATACTTTTTGAAAAGAGTTCCGCAAACAATTTTCCTAAATCAACAAGTATAAATTTCCGCTCTAGCGTTAGCGGTCACGATATTTACAACAGCGTATTTTGATATGAAGTTCATAAAATTATTATATCTACTCCTACCGAGCTGTGACTTTATGGCGTTTTAGTCTAGGGCTAAAGTTAGCAATAGTGGCTTTTTGGTATTTTAGTCACGGGCTAAAGTTAGCTTTATTATAAATTGGGGAAAAGTGACGATAAATCTGTTGACAGTTGACAGATGTCAAATGTTTAACAAATAAAATTGGCTTTAATTTCTTCTTCGTGTTCGTCGTAGATAATAGTATATTATGTATCAAGTCTGATAAACTATACTTTTTCTACGACAAATACTTATTATTATCTTAAAATGATTTAAACCAAAAATTTGTATAGAGCGTCATCTATGAAACAATAGGGGAATCTGTGGGTCACCGTCAAATGTCACATTTTTGTATTTTATAAACACAGATTATAAAGGTTATATATAAATCGAAATGTATTTCTTGAAAATTGACAGTGAAAGTAAAGGAAATGTTTTATGAGGACTTTACAGTGGAGTCCGTGCCCGAATTTAAGTTATAGTTTACTGCCGGCGAAATTAAAAGGTCAGTACAATGTTCATATAAACTTTTCAAATATTGGCGTTGAGAACTATTTAATACTTTTGTATTTTTGTATTGGGAAAATAAAATAATTTTCACATTTAGTATTATTTTACAAGAAAGGCACTTTATTTTAACGAATGTATGACATTTGACAACTGTCAACTAACTTCACCCCGTGACTAAAAACCTGTTGCTAACTTCAGCCCGTGAGTAAAGCGCCACACAACTTGTCAATGTGTATTTAAAAGGTCACTTAGTGTCATGGAAACATGTACGATAAAGGGCGTTTTAAAGGTGGGAGTAGAAAAAGTATAGTATGCAACTCGTTTTATAAATTTCTTTAGGCACTCGGTTTTATTACACACTCGTTCGCAAGCTTTGCTCGTGCCTAATGAAACTTGATACAGAATATACTATTATACACCTCTTGTATGTATTTTATGTATTTTTAAACAGTTTAAATACTTACCTTTAAGAATATTGAACATAACCTATAAATCATGCTAGAAACAGATGTTGGATTCATTTGTATTTCTTGACTCTTCAAGGTCATCAAAGCGTTTTGAATCCTGCGGTTTTCAAAACGGTGTAGCGCTCTTAAAAATTGTTTGAGGAATGTGGGAAAAAAAATTAATAACAAACTCGTGTGTAGATTCCAAGTATGTATGTTCCGACCTCATTCATCAAATTCTAAAATTTATTTAATACTGTAGGTAATAGTGCGGACGAGAATTGATATTTTGCTTTTTATGACTTTAATTGGATATACTGCATTTTAGCGTTGTATGGCAGTACCTACCCTATTCAAAATGCCATATAGAAACACAAAATAAAAATCTATATGGTTCTATCTGGTTCAATATAGGAATTTGAAACAGGCATTGCACTATTGAACCAGATAGAATTCCATACCTGGAAAACCATATAGAAAAGTGATTTCTATATGGATTGCCATATAGGTTCATATTGCTCTATCTGGCCCAATATGGTTTGGGTGTGAAAAAATTATTACCATATAGATCCATATTTAACCATATAGGGGAATCTATATGGTTTAATATGCAATTTTCGTTTAAATATATATACATTTTAAAATGGAATTCCATATTCAACCATATAGGGAAACCTATATGGAAAGACAAATAAAACAGAAACCAGATAAATCCATATAAAAATCCCTAAGTTGTACATTTTAAAATGAAATTCCATATTAAACCATATAGATTCCAAAGTGTAAACCAGGTGGTTCCATATAGGACATATAGAACCATATAAATCCATATTAGTTTCCTTATCTGGATCAATATGGGTTCTATAGGGCATTTTTAATAGGGTATAGGAATGTCGTATGTAAATTTTCTATTAAGTTTAGTTTTTAATTAGATTATTGTTAAAAATGCGGTTTTTGTAGGTAAATAAAAAAATACTCGGTTGTTCCCACGCCACAGGTTCAGTCTAGGGGGCCACAGATCCTAAATCGGCCCTGATTCTTAGTCGTTGTAGTTAGTGTCCGACCGAAGCTTCGGCTTCGGCCACCTTTGGCCAAAAAAGCACATTCGGTCGCACATTCGGCTTTGGCCAAAAACAGCAGAAATTTTTTTGCCAAAGCCGAAGGTTTGGGCCCGGCCGCCGGCTGGCAGCCGGCCAGCTTCCGAAACTGAAAGAAAGAAATATTACGATTTACGAATGACGCCGACTTCAGCGCAACGCGTGGTTTAGACTAGATCGGCCGGCCGACACGGCGTTGTTTGAAGTTCACTATTTATATTGTTATATAATTTTTTTTAGTTTAGTCAAGTCAATAAATTAAAGTCTTATTAAACCTTCGGCTTCGGCCTAAGGTTACGACAAGAGCCGAACCTTCGGCTTTGGCCAAAAACTGACATTCGGTCGGACACTAGTTATACCCTACAAACCATGTCGACGTCGACATAAACGTTAGCATAATCGACATTCTAACATGCCTCTAATAAGGTTAATTTGGAATGATTTAGCTTTGTCACGTATCCTCTTAACCCGTTCAGGACAGAATTATATTTTAAGATTCTTTAAAAATTAAAAAATGGCATTTTAGTTTTGACGGCACTGCATGTCGAGGTTTTTGACGACGTCGACATTTTCATCAACATGATCGACAACATTCTCGAATCCCTCTAATAACGTTAATTCGCAATGATTTATATTGCCAGATATCCTCTACACATCAAATATAATCATACTCTTATATATTTTTTTAATTTAAAAAATACATTTAGGTTTTTTCGGTACAACATGTCGAGCTTTTTGAAGACGTCGACATTTTCATCAACATGATCGTCGTCATTCTCGAATGCCCCTAGTAACGTTAATTAGCAATGATTTAGTTTTGTACGATATCCTCCACACATATTATATACATTCGACTACTCGAATAATTTATAATATATCTACCTCTATTCGAATACTCGAATATTTGAATTATTCGTAATCGATTCTCAGCCGTGGCTGCTGACCTGCTCAATGTGTCCCGTATTTTTATTTCCGATTCTTTCATGGAAGTATAAGTAAGTGTATACACTTACTTAAAGCAAATGAAGGGCTCGGGAGTAAAAAGTGGTATCTGGGTTTTTTAAAATTATGTTTTTGTTAAAAAACGAGCAAATAAATGTTATTTAAATTTAACTTTAAAGTCTTATTTGTGTGCGAAATCGAAATTGTTAACAATATTCAGATACCTGTTTTTACTCCCGAGCCCTTCAAATATTAATTAACAATTGTTTTACGTTCAAAATACTGAAAGAAAATTTAAAAAAAAAACAACAGTGGCGGGTCACACTGGGAGGAATTTCAAAAATCGCGGACAAAACCCTATTTTGTGAAAATCAACATAACAAATTTTAAATTGCGAGTTATAAAAAAAGAAAGCCCAGAGGTTATGATTTAAAAAAAATATATATTTTTTTTATTATAAAATGCCCGCTTAAACTTAAAAAGTCACATTGTTCTTACCGGTTTTTTAGAGCGAATTGGATGTAAGTTTTTCAAGCCCATTTTTGTTTTGCGTAATTAATTAAAGGAAATGATGGTATATTTTACCACATTCCTTATCCTTGTTCTTTCCTATAAAAGTCTAAAATTGCAAATTTTACCAAAAATAAGGTTTTTCTAAACCTTTTACCATTGCCTTTTAACGAAGATAAATCTTTTACAAACCAGAAGATATTTCTTTCTGTGTTGGTGTGAAGCAAAGTATTTGGTACGGAATGTTCATCAAATTTTCTTTTTTTAAAGTCAAAAGAATTTAGCAGCCTTTTTTGCCAGTTTGATCAGCAGGATATGAAATATTTCATATATATGTCCATGGATTTATCATATAAGTCGATTATTTATAAGTGATCATGGTTGCCTTTTGCTAGTTCTGAAACGTCAGTTTCGATTGACAGTCAGTCTTAACATACAATCGCATCGTGTTTTTGTGTATTATTAACGCTTTATAATAAAATTTGGTAAGACATTAATATTAATTTTTATATATACATATATGTTTATTTAAATAACTTGCTTCTTTATATGTAGAAATGCCATCAACGACTAATAAGGATTTGTATGAACTTATTAAAACTGTTAGTTACAAAGAAAAACACAACAAACTTTTAAAGTACCTAACCGAAAACCGGGATGGCTCCAAAATCAACTTTTAAATATAATTTTAACATCGATGTAGGGTTTTTTAGGCCAAGTCACTTTAGTAGTCGATAGAAATAAACCTTAAGATGCAAAATTGACAGAAAAGATGTACCGAAAAAAATGGATATGTAATTTTGCTCGAATGTCCCTTAATTGTTATTATTTTTTTTCTTTTTTATATTGCGTAATTTATTTGTTTATTAATTTATATTTTTTGAGAATGGAAGTTCAACAAAACCGAACTCTTCCAAATTGTGTATAAAAATTTAATGAATGTTTGTAGATAATTAAAACATTTTATATTATAAAAATTTATGCTAAAATATTATTAATAATATTTTAGCATAAATTTACTACCACATAAACCTTAAAATGGCTTAAAATAATGTGTCCCTAATTTTGTCCGCCATTTTTGAAATTCCTCCCACTGTGCGGCTGGTGGTTTTGGGTTTACCCATGAAAAATGATTCTACGTAGAATGTACATTTTGAAACAGATTAAAATACTTTATCTTTACTAACTGCCTTTTTATTCCCGATAGGCTCATTATATTTAGATAGGTATGACAGAGAAGAAAGTTTATTTTTAAGGAAAGTTGGTTTCCACTTCTTGGTATTACCGGTCAAAAACGAAAAAAAAGATTAAATATTGATGCATTCTTAATATCTGACAGTGACAATGAAATTGATAATACTGTAGATAACGCGAATGATTGCAACGTTGCGATGAATAATAGTTCAATTCAAACGAAGATCGAGCCTCCCCGTACAGCAAGCAATAGCTACGACGAAGTGGAAAATGCAGAAGATCCTATTAACATCATCTGTGGACGTAATCTAGTTATTCCAGATTTTAAAACTTCTTTGATTTACTGGTCATTGTGCAATAATATATCAATGTTATCGGTTACTCAGTTACTTCACATTTTAAAAGATTCACCAATAATCGATACGACAAATTTACCCTATGATTGTAGAACTTTATAATATAAAACTTTATAATATAAGATTTATATCGCACTAGAAGGAACGTTAAAGTAGACAAAATGGACGATGGTTTCTTTTACTATTTTGGCTTAAAACGGTGGTTTTCAATCGAAAAAAATAAAGAGCATGTATACATAACAATAATAATAACAATATTGTTGAAGATGAAATACGAATTTCTTTTAATATCGATGGATTAGATTTAAGGAAAAGTAGTAGAAAAACAGCATGGCCTCTTCTTTGCCGAATATTGAACGTGCCTGATATTTTAATATTCGTTTCTAAAATTTATGTTGGCCCGCATAAGCCGTCAGATTGTCAAAAAAATTTACAGCCTTTTGTAGAAGAATGTAATGAGCTAATACGTAATGGACTTGAATTAGGCGATTGAATGTTTGCTTTCAGAATTAATTATGGAATTTTCGATGCTCCTGCGAAGAGTTTCGTTCTGAACATAAAAGCCCACAACGCGTTCCTTTTTGCGATGTCATGTCAAGGGATACAAATCAATGAATCGGACAACATTTCACGTCAGTGAAAGAATGTTGACCAATTGTAAACTAAGAAATGCTGCAAAATTTAGGCAGGTCATTACAGACACAGTCCTTTATCAGATTTGATTACATTTGATCCAATCAATGGAACCGTGTATGACTACATGCACCAAGTTTGCCTTGGGATAATGAAAAATCTTTTGAAATTGTGGTTAAACTTAAAGGACAAAAAGTATCCAAACAAAAAATTGTACACTCTCAGCTAATTAAATGTGTTATTTGTTGATACAAGTCTAAAATATATTCGTAAATTATGCCCCTATGAGTTTCCAAGGAAATGTCGACCAATTACTGATGTTGCTTTTTGGAAAACGACGGAATTACGAATGTTTCTCCTATATGTCGGACCTGTTGTTTTACGTGGACGGCTTAATGAAGAACTTTGTATGCACTTTTTATTGCTACATTTTTCGATTCGATTTTTGTGTGATCTCAATTCAAACTTTGATATCGAAGATACCATTCATACGTATCTAATAAAATTTATCATGGGGCACGCTTCAATATATGGCAAGCATTCGATTGCCTAAAATGTGCATAGCTTATTGCACGTTTGTACGGATATTCGTAATTTTGGCAATCTCGATAACTATAGCGCATTGCCATTTGAAAATCATTTGTTTCAAATTCATTATTATGAGTTTTTTATTAAATGTAATGTAATAGTGTACCAATGTCGAGAATCTTCCTCACATAATCACTTTATCCACAGCATTTTCATTTTTACGTCGATGTCGACAATAGCATCGACTGACGACAACGACATAGACAACTGCGTCAATTGCCGACATCAACATTTGCGTCCACATTCGCGTCGACTGACGACGTCAACATTTGCGACGACATTCGCGTCGACTGACGACGTCAACATTTGCGTCGACTGACGACGTCGACTGACGATGAAAATGCTGGTCCGTAAAGTGACCGATGTTGATTCTCGACATTTTCATCAACATTTGCCCCGACATGGTTTGTAGGGTAGTTATACACACTGTCTAGTAGACAGTGTCTACTAAGAGGAAAGAAATTATTTTGGAATTCCCATAACTTTTACAGTACAGTACAAAAGTATGGTTAAAATGTACAAGAAATAAAATAGTATATTACAAATTTACAAGAAATATAATAGTATATTATGTATCAAGTTTTGAAAGCCATTATGGTTACCAGTTTAATTAAGAGCGAGCGAAGCATGCGAGCGAGTGTCTAGAGAAGTTTATAAACGAGTGGTATACTATACTTTATCTACGACGAATACAAAACAGAATTTAAACCTAATTTTATTTGTTACAAATTTGACATCTGTCAACTGTCACCCGAATTTAAACTGGCTTAAGTTATATATAAATAATAATAATATTAAGTTATATATAAATAAATACGTACATATATACGAGTAAAATATTAAAACGATCGAATTTTGAGCACGTGTTGTAGTCGAAGTCTTTGAAATATAACTTTAAGACCGATACCATTGTGCTTATAAATTTGACTATAATGAGATTTTTTGTAGGAACATCTACATACGAAAAAATTAGTCCAACTCCTATGATTATAATTGTTATTATTATGATGCAACTAGTTAAGGTAAGCTTACCTTCTTTGACGCTTTGAACGTAAACAGGATTATCTCCTGTCACCTTCATGCCGTAGCCTTTGTCGTCCTTGTTAACAACAACCTGGACCATCGGATAGGAGATGGGTCCTCCAGCGGAGGGGGGAGGCGTGTCCATCAAAGAGGTGGGCCGGTGGACGCCGCCGCCGGGAGAAGCGGGCGGGCCCGGTCCTGGAGACGGCCGTCGGGCATGAGAACCGCCTCCGTTTAAACTGGGCCCCACTGGATTTCTAAAAAATAAAAACGAAATGTAAGTTTTATGTTTAAAATAATCATTCAAAAACGCATTTAATGTTTATGAATTTGTATGTTGCAGTTGAAATGGGTATAGTTAAGTATATTCAATTTTATTTTTAGTTCTCATACAAAATGAGTCATTTTCCAATTTAGATTTGATCGGTTATTAGTAAGTAAACAAATAAGCAGTACCTCCTTTTTATAGTTATTTACTTGTCAAGCTTTGTAAATGAATCTTTACCGGCGAGCTGGAAGTTTGTGGGGTGAGCGACGCGGGAGCGAATCCCATAATCCAGTGAGCCTAGTAAAGATTAACTGCAAAGCGTGACACGTACAAAATTTTATTTTTACCTTTAGATAACGATTTTCAAATTTAAAATTTTAATTAATATGTCAAATATAACATTTCATTTCATAAATTGCTTTTTTACAAGCCTGTAAAACTTTACAGGTCTTTTATACAAGCCAGTAAAATATTACAGGTCTGTTCCCATTATGTATCGTTTACTTGGATACAAAAACAACAAAATTAACCTATAAAATGTAATTTATTAAGAAGGTGGAAATAATAGTTATTTACGTGTCAAGCTTTGTAAATGAATCTTTACGGGCGAGCCGAAAAATTGTGGGGTGAGCGACCCAGGAGCGAACCCCATAATCCAGTGAGCCTAGTAAAGATTAATTGCAAAGCGGGACACGTACAAACTTTTATTTTCACCTTTAGATAACGATTTTTAATTTTAAAAGTTTAATTAATATGTCAAATGTGACATTTAATTTCATAAATTGCTTTTCTACAAGTCTGTAAAACTTTACAGGTCTTTTATACAAGCCCGTAAAATATTACAGGTCTGTTCCCATAATGTATCGTTTACTTGGATACAAAAACAACAAAATTAACCTATAAAATGTAATTTACTAAGAAGGTGGAAATAAAATCAATTACAGGTAAAAACGTCCATCTATCGTGCGATTCCTTTCGAGTTTTCAATTGGTATTCATTTTATTAATTAAATATTCAGTTTTTTTATTTTAATGGTTGTAATAAAAAAATATTTGTTTCCTGCATTTCTTGCAAATAAATTCTATTAACCGTTGAACTTTTTGTTTTTGCGCCATATGTAGGTTTATTAATTTCAGATTAGGTGAGTACTCACGGTAGGCCTGAAACCAGTCTATATTGACCGGATTAGCACCACGTTTTTTATGACAGATTTTGAAAATATATATTGTTAGTTATTTATGGTACTATAGTACCATAGTACCACACTATAGTGTGTTATGTTGAAAATAAGTCAAGCGAAAAAGATTTATACCACGAGGCCGTCAGGCCGAGTGGTATAAATTCTTAAGTGACTTAGGAAACACACGAGTGGCATACAATGTTTTATCCAACAAGTGGAAGAAATCGTTTTTTATGAGATAATAATTAATAAGCTTTGTGATCAAATCAAAGCTACTTGCGTCTCAGTACCCTATAAATGTCAGAATGACTTGACAGTGACTTTTTTACATTTTGGTCAAAGTAGGTTGTTTGTTTGGTTGCCACGGACATGATACATTGTTATAGTTGTCGCGGCGAATGTTCCAAATTGCGTTATCAAATTCTGAACCAAGCACATACATTACAATTATTGTTGTTTTCTTTGACGTATATAATCCAAGGAACCGCTAGGTTAAAAGAAATCGGTTTTTGACATTCGACATTGATGACACTGTGCAAATGTTAAATAAATTTTGACACTTGTCAGTTTTCCCTGCAGACAAGGAAAGCTTTTTTGAAGAAAAAAAACGTATATAAAATGGAGGAAACCGATGAAAATTACGTTCCTGAGGATATCCTTACGGAAGCGGAAGAAGCAGTGATGCCGATTTTGTCAGAAAAGTCCCGAGATGCTTACGAAAAGGAGTTCAAAATGTTTGAGTCGCAGAAAAGGAAAGCTTTTTTGAAGAAAAAAACGTATATAAAATGAAGGAAACCGATGAAAATTACGTTCCTGAGGATATTCTTACGGAAGCGGAAGAAGCAGTGATGCAGATTTTGCCAGAAAAGTCCCGAGATGCTTACGAAAAGGAGTTCAAAATGTTGGAGTCGCAGAAAAGGAAAGCTTTTTTGAAGAAAAAAACGTATATAAAATGGAGAAAACCGATGAAAATTACGTTCCTGAGGATATTCTTACGGAAGCGGAAGAAGCAGTGATGCAGATTTTGCCAGAAAAGTCCCGAGATGCTTACGAAAAGGAGTTCAAAATGTTTGAGTCGTGGATGAATTCACTGAAGATAAAATGTTCTATTGGCTTATTTTTTACATTTGCAAAAAAAATTTGCCCCATCGTCGCTATGGACCAAATACTCGATGTGCGCTCGACTATTCACCTTTATAAAAAATCGACATTTCAAAATATGGCAAACTAACGAGCTTTTTGAAAAGCAAATCACAGGGATACAAACGCGGTGCTTGTAGATGCGATAAATTGGTCAATTTGAAAATAGGAAATATTCAAGAAAAAGGGAAATATTTTCACGTAGTTTTGCCAGACACTAAAACCAGGAAATTGAGAAGTTTCACCATACTTGAAGAAGAATTTTCAGTCAACCCGATCAATTTGTGTAAAAAATACATGTCTTTGACACCAAAGAATACTAGTTCTAGCCGCTTTTTTGTTTTTTATAAAAATGGGAGGTGTACCAGCCAGTGTGTGGGAATAAATACCTTGTCGAAGATACCTTCAAGAATTCCAATGTTTTTGAAAATGGAGGAACCAGCGCTTTACACCGGTCACTGCCTGAGGTCTTCGGCGACTGTTTTGGCCAAAGCAGGGGCTAACATGACTACTTTGAAACGTCCCGGAGGATGGAAGTTCTCGACGGTAGCATAACAAAATACAAATTGCAGAAAAAATACAGCACTATCAGCAGCTGTACCGATATGGGGGCGTCTGGTTCCAATGAACCAACGAATTTTACAATGACTTCAAATTCGAATAAACTGTTAGCGTTTTCCTTTAATTTCAGTATCAATGTGAATTCTGCTTGTATTAGTAAGGGGCCGTTCATTAATTACGTGAGACAATTTTGGCGATTTTTCGACCCCCCCCCTCCCCTTGGTGAGATGTCGTGAGATTTTGCTCGACCCCCTCCCCCCCCCCTTAATCTCACGTGAGATTTTTTAAAATGCATGGTCTTAATGTAAATAAGTTAATCTGTGCTTGATTCCATTAGATTTATTAAAAAAAACAATTTGCTTATAATTGTTTACTTAATTTAACCCAGTTTTCTCGCAATTTTACACTCTTTCTTTCGGAAAAAAAAATTACGTGATATTTGCCGAGGACCCCCCCTCCCCCCCACGTGAGATTTAGTGAGGTTTGGCTCGACCCCCTCCCCCCCCCTAAACACCTCACGTAATTAATGAACGGCCCCTAATAAATAAATAGAAAACTACTTTAAATATGAAAGTGAGTTATAATCAATAACTCACTAGTGTGTTATTTGATAGTTTACTTGTTTAAAATTACATTAATAATGAAAGTCATAACTAGGGTTACCAGATTCTGTCAAAAAAAAATATGGACATTTTGTTTGAATTAACCGAGTTAATCTTAATTACAAAAATGACACAATCAACAATAATTAAGTAACGTCAAAGTTGCACTGTATTATTATGTCAATTTTTTAATTAAGATAAATTTATACAAAATGTCCCGATTTTTTTTGACAGAATTTGGTAACTCTAGTCATAACTGTCATGTGTTGGATAAAATAAGCTTAAATACCCGTTTATAGCAAATTGCCAACCGTCTTCCACAAGTCATATGCAGTGCTTGCAAAATATTTATTTATCGAAAAAAAAGGATCCGAATTCGTCTGCTGTTCGGATGCCCGATTACTCTACATTTCCTTCTTTACCAAAACATACAAGGAAAGATAAAATAAAATGTCAGTGCAAATTATGCGAGTTTGTGCGCCCCATCAGAATTGTATACAGAAAAACATCAATGCCAAGAAAAAAGTTGCCGAGCAATGTGCAAGGTGTAGAAAATCTTTGCAAAAAAGGAGTAGCACATTTTTGATTTAAAACTCACAATTATGCAAATCTAGTCGAGTCAATTCAATCAGAAGTGCCTCCAAAAGTACAGGAACATTTAGTAACTGATCTGATTACAAATATAAGCAATATTAATATTCAAGAACCCGGTGCTGAAATGCACTTATCTCGACGCCATGGTAAACCTCTGAAAATCACACTCAATAATAATGCAGAAAAACAAATTCGTGTAGAAGATGTTTTAAAAATTGGTACAGATTTTGGACTTTCAAAAAATACTGTGGATCTTCGTACTTCTACAAAAAAACAGAAAATTGTTTGAGCCAATTTGAAAGAAAAAATGCGGAATCTCAATCATGCTTTGGATACCTATTTTACTTCCAAGGAGTGTAAAGTAATTCGCACCAAGAAGAAGAATAAGGAGACCATCGCTACGGAAACCTTAGTTTATTGCAGTAACATCGATGGACATTTGAAAATTTGGCATTGACGGGGGAGGGGGATTTTTGAAAATCTGTCCCTCGGTGCAAAAAACGAACGCCATTGATGGACCTAAACACAGATTCTCCTATAAGGATTCTAATGCAACAACCAAGTTCAAGGACAGTGGTGTTAAATAGTGTATTACACTACAAGGGCAGAAAGTGTGAGATTCCTGCACTGCGCGCCATGATGCCCGAGGCGAAGCCGAGGGCATCATGGCGCGCAGTTCAGGGCTCTCAAACTTTCTGCCCGTGTAGTGTATACTATTTTTCTTACTACCTCGGCCGAAAATACAACCCGGCCGAAAATACGGGAAAAAATTAAATGTGTATTTATGTACTATGCTCCACACTTCAAAGTCCCACCACGTGACCAGGTACGGAACGCAGTCTTTTGAAAGTTTGTCATTTAAGGCTTTTCAGGTTATGTATCTGTCAAAGTATAGTCAATGAAAGAAATAAT